TTCTCTTTTGCAGATTGTATCATTTTTGGTTTTTCTATTCCATATTCTGCAACCTGCATTCTCAACCTTCTTCAAAAACACTTGAATTGATCAGGAAACAATAGTTCCATGCCCAGAAGGTATAAATTTTTTACTCCCTATATATTTTCTTCACATTCATGTGTGTATATATATATATAAAATAGGGATCAACTCATACATCAATTTTACTAATTTAATAAAATCTTATGAAAAAAATTAAAAGATTCTATTTATTTTTAAAATAAAATGAAAATATTTTAATTGTTCCTCGTAATACTTTATTCAAACAATATAGTTTTAAATGTTTTTTCGCTTAATTTTTTATAAATTCAAGTGATAAACATTAATATATATATATATATTCGGAAACTGGATCTCAGCCGGTCCTCCTAATTTTTTGTCGGAATGATTTATTAAACGGCGTCGTTTCAAGCTAAAAGCATAAAATCCCAATTTTGCTCGTCTTCAACTTTCCCCTGTTTCCACTTTCTAGATTTTCACAAAACCCTTAACGTGAATTCCTTCTTTCTATTCTTCATGCTCACACCAATAACCTCATCCCCTTTTCTTCTTTGATTTGCCCCTATTTCTTTGCATTCGAAAGCCCTCTATTCTAAAACCCTTTCCTGCAAATTCTCCTTCCATCCTCCCAAAGCCATTGCTACTCAACCCATTCACTGGAGGCTTGAAGGCTATGTCGAAGAAGTTGCCGACGAAAAGATGGTTACATCAGAGTGAGATCCTAAACAGAGAAACCAGAAGTACTAAAGGAAAAAAAGGTTGCAAACGATTCTGCTTCTGCGCCACAGCCAAAAACGAAATTAAATGGGTTCATTCGAACCCTCTCTCACAGACTCCGCAAGCAGCCGTGTCCTCCTATTTGTTTCTAAGTTTCTCTCTTGATTTCTCTTCAAAATTTTATTCATTCATGTTCAGTGGAATAATAATTATTTGAGAAAGAAATTTTTGGAGTTAAAGTTAAGCAACCAAGGAAATCAATGAGAAGCCACAAGTCCTAATTTATAAAAAAAAGTTCGAAATTGATTCAATGATTGAAGTCGCGATGCACAAAGTATGAATTTAGCCTTTTAAAGTTAAAGTTATTAATCATTCTCTTCTATTATTTCACTTTAAAGTTATTTTTTTTAATTGAATTTGTAGAGACTTGCTGCCTTGAATCTTATCTTTGAATTTCTTTCTTTTCTTTTCAATTATAAATGAACAAGCATAAGAAAATTAAGGATTGATGTTTAGGATCCTAAACAGAGAGAAACAATTCAACTTCAATCTCACTCTGATGTAGCCATCTTTTCGTCGGCAACTTCTTCGACATAGTTTTCAAGCCTTCGGTGAATGGGTTGAGTAGCTATGGCGTCGGGAGGATGGAAGGAGAATTTGCAAGAAAGGGTTTTAGAATAGAGAGCTTTTGAATGCAGAGAAACAGGGGCAAATCAAAGAAGAAAAGGGGATGAAGTTATTGGTGTGAATATGAAGAATACAAAGAAGGAATTCATGTTAAGGATTTTGTGAAAATCTGGAAAGTGGAAGCAGGGAAAAGTTGAAGATGAGCAAAATTGGGATTTTATGCTTTTAACTTGAAACGATGCCGTTTAATAATTCAATCCGACAAAAAATTAGCAAGACCGGCTGAGATCCAGTTTCCCGATATATATTTATTTACTTTCAGTTTTCTAAATTAATACTCTCCCTCTCCTTCAATGGATTAGATCAATCTTCTACTTTTTAACTAATTTTTACATTTGATTTCTATTATTTTACATGTAATGAAAATCTTAGAAGAAAATAAAGAGTATACTGAAGCGTGCAGCCTGTGAAGAAGCCTTTCGCCTAGCCCAACGTTTCTTTTCGTGATTTGGTGAAAAAGCAGAGTCCATAAAATCAAGGTGCACTTTCGTTTTTTGTTTTTTTTTTTTTCATTAACTGTTGTCTCATTCTTTGAATTTGCATAAGACATTAACAATATTTATATTGTTATTTTTTTAACGAAATTTTGGGACGGAGATTAAGTTTGTTTTAAAAGTAATGATCTAATATTATTATTGATTTAGAAAGAGACGACAAATTTTCAAGTCAATCTAAAAAAATAAAAAGGTACATGAATATCGATGAAATAATTTTCTAGGTATTTATGTACTTTTTTCTCTTGCAAGTCAAAATGTAAAAAACACTTCTGATTTATTAATAATAATATTAATAAATCATTCCAAATCAATATCTTCTACCACCAGTCTTTAGTCTTACCTCCGCTATGTTATGGCAAACGCCCCCGTAGCTATTGTGAGATTTTTAATTTGGTTCTTTAAGTTTTATTTTTATCAATTTTATCCTTAATTACTTTGTTTCATATCATTACTTTAGTCGTTTTTAGTTTTTTCATTGGAGATCACTTCAGAATTAATCTTTAAAAATTTTGGTCCTCCCACTTATTTTTCTAATTGTTATGAAAATATGACTAAAAAAAAGGCTTAACAAAAGCAGAATATTAAACTTTTAAAAGATATTATATAAATTTTTTAAAAATACATT